TTCTTTTTTAAGTAAACACAGTAAATAATGTGGAGGCCAGCTCATCAGAATGCATCATTCGAACAACATTCGAAATAGGATAGTGTTGATTTTGTGGCTTATGCTTGCATATGAAGCCTTGGGCCAAAGTCTTGGGCAACACAACACCACAACCACACCCGGCAATCCGACAATGATATCACTGGTCCAGAGTGGGGATGTGGACCCAGAAGCAGCCCTGATGGAATCCCATCGGTATGTCACCGGTTTGCCCGGACCAAAGGCCCAGGACCCCCTAACCAGAATGCGTCTAAATGTGAGTGCACTCAAAAAATTCAATTTTATTATGTGGTGTAATCTAAAAAAATGTTAAGTGAATATAAATCTTGTTCGTGTAATAAAAATATTAGATTATACAAATATGCTTAAAAAAGTGTTTTAAAAAAATAAGAGTTTGTTACATTTAACTAACAAAAATCTATTTAAAATGGTTCATTTACTTTTGGTGTATTAGTAAAATTTTTGCAGTGATTTTCTGAGGTTTTCCAAGTTAATAATATTTAAGTTCACATTATGCATTTTAAGGTTAAAGTTTAAAGTAGGTGGAATTTCGTTTTTGCTTTTGTGTATCACCGTTGTGGGGTTCATTCAATTTTGAATCTGAATTTTCCAGCCAACACCTGATGGTGAAATCACAGAGCTGAGCACAAACGTAACGCTCTATATGGAGAAAATCCCACGCCTACAGGTGCGATGGCAGGACAATTTGCCGGAAGGTAGGAGTTTTATCTTTTTGTTCCGATATATAGGAATTAGTCGCTTTGACAATCCGAATTAAATGGGAACTAGGGAACCCCAAGGCAATATCTCTAATTATGGGGTATTGTTCTCGTTTTCACTTTATTGCAGGCACTTCCTACAATGTCCTTGTAAGTGCGGTAAACAACAGTCGTTGTCCTGATGCGCCGTGCAGTGAGTACGGAATCAAGCAGAAAAAGTTGAGTTCCGAATCCCACTTCGTAAACCTGCCAGTGAATCCCAATCTGAACGTGGAGTCAGTGGACTGCAACTACATGTTCGGCTGCCAGTACCAGGTCATTGTGGAGACATCCAATGCGATGGTCAGGCGGTCTGCCCGCGTCTATATTCCTCGTAAGTTCCCTAGAGGGGTTTGAGATCCTAAAAAATATACCATCGAATTTTAAATATATTAATATTCGTTCTATTAATTTCTCACCTATCAGATTGGGTGCATGTCATAACGCCAAAGGGCTCTGTAACACTTTTGAAAGTGTCATAACGCCCCCAGATAATAATTACCAAATGATTATGATAATAGTGAGCTAAAAACTTATTAATACATTTGTAGATGGTTTCAAGCTATTTATGTAGGGCGTATGGCACGCACCCATCACTTTAATATTAATTTCCGATAATTAATAATTGTCTATTCCCAATAGAGTGTCTGGAGGGCAAGTGCTCCTGCCAATTGGCGCCCACGCCGCCAAAGGTCCTGGCCTTGGGAAAAATGCTAAATAACGAGACCATCAGCATCAATGTCTCGATCCTGGCCAGCGAGCTGTTGCGCAAGGAGCAGGACTCCCATCTGCACGAGACATTGAGGACCTACAAAATGCAATTGAAGTGAGTACTCTCAGCGGGAGGCATCTACATTACAATGCATCGTAATGGCTCAACTGAATATAGCAATCAAATTAAATGTATCCTGTATCCTGTGTCATGTTGTACATAATTGTTTACTTCTGTTAGATATTTAAACTTAAATTGCTTGCATTTTCCGGCATTTGGTCATGGGTCCTTTGGTACATGTCAACTTAATACAACATATGTTTGTACATTTAAATATGCATCATTAAATTACCATACCATGTTTCCTTTAAGAAATAAAAAGAAAATATTACAAATGCATTAAATAAAAGAGATGAGTTGCGAGAAATAACACATTTACGAACATTAAATTGCAGAATAAATGAGGAGACAAACCCCTCGCTTCCCTGGGGTGGTGTACTGAAGCACCTGATGACCCGCGTTTACAAACTCAGCGAACTGAACTTCAGGCCAACGCCCAAGGGATTCGAGGGCATCATGAAGCTGGGTCTGGGAACGCAGCTCAAGGAGAAGGCCTCGCTCAGTGTGCAGGCAGTCATCGTCGATCCTTCGGGATGCGAGGGACCCCGCAGCGTTACCAAGGTGCCGGGTAAGTGAATCGCACTCCGTGATTTAATCCCATTTGCATTTACATTTTGTATTCGAAAAGTGCCCGCCAATTCCGTTCTGCTAACTGAAGGAGACAGTGTGGTAAGTCTGAATGAATAAATGTTTAATTTAAAAACATATAACCAATTGTTTCCCGCGCAGAGCAACTCCATCATTGTCATGAGCGGCATGCTGATTGCCATTATCCTGGCTGGCCTGATTATGCTGCTCCTGCGACGACGACGGGCCAGGAAAACTGCCAAGCTACGAAAGCAGGAGCAGATCTATATCCAGACCTTTGCCACCTCCGCCATTGAGTGAGTTTATGGAGGGGTTATCACATGAAATGTGCTAATCCTGGGTAACCTTCTTTCTTTCAGAATGGAGGATAATGTCAACTATGTGGACAAGTACGTGGAGGTAGGTTATTTACATCCTCATTGTTCTCTTAACAAGTTTACAGGGAAAAACAATACATTCATCAATTCAGAAATGTGCATCCAATCAGTTTGCAGTATTGTGAAATGATACATAGTAACTTAATTATAGCAGATTGATTGCTGTTTGTCAGGTTTTTTTTTCCATCTTACAGCCTACGTAGGTCCTTGTTTTTCAAAGAACTACTCATTTAAATTTTAATTTGATACAGGAAAATAAGCTCTGTGTGCAGGAATATCAAATAGCATATTATAGCAGATTGATTGCTATTTGTCATTTGTTTTTTGGTTTTTCTATTTTAAAAGCCTTTAAGCACATCGTTTTACAAAGGAATTGATTACACATTTAAATTTAAACTTAATAAAGGAAAATAATTATAGCCGATTGCAGATTGTCATTTTTGTTTTCCAATTAAAAGCCATGTAGCATATTGTTCTTCAAAGGAAATGATTGCACATTTAAATTAAAACATGACAAGGGAAAATAAGCTCTCAATCCTAAAATCCCAAAATTATCTGTTTCTCTGCAGAAGTCACAGGTCCTGGGATTGGCAGACATCTTTGAGGTCCCCCACTCGGCCATCCAAATTGGCCGGATGTTGGGCGAGGGAGCCTTTGGTGAAGTGCACGAGGCCACTGCGATTAACTTGCGCCGGATGAGGGGCACCACCATTGTAGCAGTGAAGCAGCTGAAACGTGAGTTTATACTCGTAGCTCAAAAGAATCCAAAAGCCAGCTGGATGTTTCCTTTTCAGCCAATCCCAAGGCGGATGAGGTGGCGGAGTTCCTGGCCGAGATCGAGATGCTTAAGGGTGTGGGCACGCACCACAATGTCGTCTGCTTTCTGGGATGCTGCACCATCAAGCCGCCCTACCTGATGATCATGGAGTACGTAGGAAAGGGGAATTTGGTAAATAATAAAGTGTCTTTAAAGTAATAAATATTTTTTCTTATAGGTACTAAATTAAATCATTAAATATGCTAAAATTTAACTTACATTCTTCTGCAGCTGAGCTATCTGCGAACGGTGCGCCAGGAGGCAAGCAAGCTGAAGAATCGTAATGCCAACTACACCACCTGCAGACCCATTTCGAGCAGGACCAATGGCACTTCCTCGCCCAAGTCGCAGAGCGTAAACTACATTGAATTGAAGGCATCCAGCCAGACCATTGAATTGGTCCAGGCCCAGGACGATTCCAGTGCCAGCATGAACGGTCCTCGGCAGCCACCGCCCTCCTTTGCCGAAAGTAAGCCATTTCGAAAGTCCAATTAGGGGGGAACTAACAAGCGATTACTAATTTGCAGCCACTTACACCATTGTCGAGGATGAGGATGCCTTTGAGTACATACTGGACAACAAGGAGCTGCACAATTTTGCCCTGCAAATTGCCAACGGAATGCGGTTTCTGGAAGAACAGGAAATAACGCATCGGTAGGGGATATTAATAGACACTCTGTGAAAGGGGTTTTAGTATTTTCTTTTTTTTAAGTGACCTGGCTGCGCGAAATGTATTGATTGACAGCAACAAGACCCTGAAAATATCAGATTTTGGTCTTTCCAGACATGGAATTTATACGAACACAAGGACGCGAAAGGTAATTACAATACTAAAGATGACATTATTAATATTATTATTATTGAATATAAAGTCGTTTACTAAAACTAATGTTATTCCTTGACTAACAGGTAATTTTAGTGACATAATATTTATTATTCCATACCCTCCATTGTAGCTCCCTCTTCGGTGGCTGTCCATCGAAGCCATTCGCGACAATGTCTACTCCAGCAAGAGCGATATCTGGGCCTATGGCGTAGTGCTCTGGGAGATTGGGACCTTGGGGGCCTCGCCATATCCCACGATCAGCAACAGCGAGCTGATCCCATTCCTGATGGCGGGAAACCGCCTGCAGCGGCCGGAGATCTGCACCCCGCAGGTGTACACCATCATGCTGCAGTGCTGGCTGGAGGATCCCGAGGAACGGCCCACCTTCGACGCCCTGTACAGGGTCCTCAGTCCAAAGACCACCTACGTGGACATCAACAGTCTGAGTGATGACTACGTCTTTCCGCCGATTAGCGAGAATAGGGAATAAACTCTTGTATATATCGTTTTAGGTGTACTGTAGTTCTAAACGTCCTCAATCGTTAATAGTTAAAAGTGTAATACTGTCTTTAAGGTTTAAATTCGGTAATTGTTACAAGTCTTTTATGGTATTCAACTATTCATGCTGTACAAATATCTCCGTCTGTGTGTGCACAATGCAGAGTTCAAAATGTGCCGGAACAAAGTTTTCAATTAAGTACAACTTTAGTTAGTAGTCAGTAAGATCTAATGTTTAGGATATCTACATCCATTAGTTTTTCGCTTGATATGTAATTTATTGTAAGGTAATTAAGGTAATTAAAAGGACTTTGCAGTCTGCTGTATACGAACGTAGTTTTGATGTGCTGTGAGTTTTCGACATATGTATATATATGAAGTATATATAAAAATTAATTTTATTTCATATCTAATTGTTAGACTTCATTTAGCGTTCATGCGTTACTTCAAAGTATTAATAAAAATGAAGTTATAAAAATCCTGTATGTTTTTAATGTCGGACGCCATAAATGTCATTCCAGGCCTCAAATTGCTTGCAGTCATCGGCAGAAACGCTTTTCGAGATATCCCTTAAAGCCTGTTTAAAATCAATTATGGTAACGGCGGGCAACTGAAAGGAAACAAGAGGATAATTTATGAGAATTCGCTGTCTGAAATAAATCATTTTTCAGAGTAATTAAAGGACTTTTACCTTGCAACCCTAGAACTCAGTAATTGTTAGTCCTCTGAGGATAAATAACCATACCTGATGCGTTTCGATGACCTCCATTTGATCGGGTGTCAGCAGGCGAAGAGGAGCCATAGAAGCGTAGCGGCACAGCGAGTCCACATCCGCTCCTGAGTAGCCATCGGTGAGCTCGGCCAGCTCATTAATTTCCGTAGCATCCAGGCTGTGCTTCACCTGTCGCAGTATCTTTTCTATGATTTTCTGGCGCGCCTCCTTCGTGGGCAGCGGCACATACAAGCGGCGCACAAATCGCCGACGCACCGCCTCGTCCAACTCCTGCGGCCGGTTGGTGGCTCCTATTACCAGCAGCCTAACCTCCTCATTACTGGCAGCGCCATCCAGGTGGATGAGAAACTCGTTCTTCAGTCGCAGAGTGCTCTCGTTCTCGTTCCCCGAACGCTTTGACAGCAGAGAATCGACTTCGTCTATGAAGATGATCTGAAACAAATGGGCAGTGCATTAACTAGCAGGAAATTATAGATTATATTGTAGATTGTTATTTAAGTAGCAAGTCTAAAAATGGCTGGGCCACGTACAGCAGGCTGATGTGCAGCGGCCACGGCGAACAATGTCTTAACCAGCTTCTCTGCTTCGCCGACCCACTTGGAGGTTAGGGAGGATGGATTGATGCTGAAGAACTTGGCCTTGGCCTGAGATGCAATGCTCCTGGCGATAAGTGTTTTCCCAGTGCCAGGTGGGCCGAATAAGAGAACCCCCCTAGGCGGAGACCGCACACCCGTGAACAAATCTGGCCGACGCAGCGGCATTATAATGGCTTCCAGGAATGTGGACTTGGCGGATTCCAGACCCGCAATATCTTCCCATGCTGAAAGGGCAACATATTATGTCCCTGGCGGTTTCGAATGCATGTATGAAATAACTCACCGACGTGTTTGAAATCGTGCATGCTTTCTCCGAGAATTTGCTCCACCATCTTGGGATCCAAATGGGCCAGGTTGGGTGGTAGATTGCTGCTGGCGTTGCTGCACTCGTGGGGATTCGATTAAAATTAAAAATGAATGACAAATTCAGGAAATATAAGACTTCTACTCACGAGCTTGTGGAGCTCTCATTACTTCCCATGGGCGATACAAACTTCGAGCTAACAGTGCGTTTTCCACCCAGCGTTTTCTTCCTAAAGTTCATCATGTCGGTTGGAGATGCAGTCGATTCATTAGCAGCATGTTGCCTGTTTTTCTGAGAATTTAGAATAAAGACGGTAATATATGTATGTACAGTGAAGAGATGTGGTGCTCATAGATTTAATTAGCTCAATAATACATCGTTTCACTTGGAAACATATGAAAGCCAATTATTCAGACATTTCTCAGAAAATCAATTCCAAGTGCAAGTCAAATTTGGGTTCCCAGAAAACCGACTCTAAGTGCAAGTCAAACTCAGGCATCCCAAAAATTCTTCGAGCTTAATGCAAACTGTTTAAAGTTACTTAGCTCACTGAAAATCTCTGTTTGGATGGAAAATTACACAGATTGGTATTTCCTTCGAGAGAACCCACCTTCAGTTCGTCCAGGACTAGTTGCTCCCGGGCAGTACGAAAGCCAAAGCCATTTTGGGATGCATCCTGCGGTGGAACCTGATGTCCTTTTTTGATACCCTTATCCGGATCCTTCCCAGAGGCAGTCGGAAAATTCATTGTTTGATTGGGTTTAACTTGGGCTGGGGTTTTTAAGGAAGCGGCTTGTAATGCACTCAAGGTCATCTCCGTTTTCCCACAACTCTCGTACGAGGTCCTGCATTTCGGATCAAAATCCACATCCTGTGGCATTTCGAAAATATAATCTTCTCGTTTTATCTCTGATTTCGTCCTGCGGCTTTTCTTTATTGTTTCCTGGCATTGATTTAAGCGCTCCACCATTGTCTGCTCGGTACTTTCGTGTTTTTCCAGCTTTTCCTGATGTTCTTTTGTTACAGCAAAGAGGGTTGAGTCTCTGCAATCAGGATTTTCATTAACATATTAAAGTATATGTATATTATTTTTAATATTTGTAATTACCTTGTTTGTTGGCATAGCAAAAGTAGTTGCCTTCGCCAGGCATTCTGTTTTTGGGCATTCGAGGCTTCTGTGGATTTAATTGTGGCCTCACAGGCAGCAAATTGTTTAATCCATAGCTGCTCGGTCATTTCGGTTTAAATATAACAAGTTAAAATACTTTTAATTTCTTGTAAATTAATTAAATGAAAACAAAAACAGGCGGCAAAAAATGAGCTGTTGTACGGCTAAGTTTTCCAGCAGTCAGCTCTTGTATGTACTTGCGATCGTTTCCTATCGATTGTTATCGCTAGGTTCTTAGGCCCCGTTTACACTATGGTGCTAGCTAGATATTTTAAAAAGGTCATATATGGGCAAATATTTATTTTGAACACTGTCCAAGCTAAAGTAATTCCTGAGAATTTGGAAAAAGTCTATGCTTAAGGATAAAACACCTGTGTACTATATCTTTTGTGCCAGTTGTGGGCCAATCCAAAACCGCCAAAGGATTACCTCTTACCTTAATCAGTTGTAAACGCATTTCCGACGTAATCAAGTTAAGAACAATCTCGTTTGGGAAACCCTTGGCAGTGATTAAACCTATATGTGTAATTAGTTTGGTGTTTGCATGCTTGATTATTTGATTCATACCATTAATGCACTGGGTCTATAACGTGTGTTAATGACAGCTTTCAGTTGATTAAGTTTGGTACTTTGTAATTAGCACGGTGTTTTCGTGCTTGGCTTTCGATTTATTCCTTTTAATCAGTCGATAATGTGTGTAAATGACATGCTTACGGCATTATTGGTATTTTGTAAACTTCAAGGTAGAAAATAACAGGTCAAATCTATAATTTTACTTCAATTTTTTTTTAAAATAATTTAAAACTCATGTTGGTCAACGATTATAACCATTAAAGCTTTTGTAAATAACAATCTAAAATAATAGTAGTTTAAAAGTTATTCAAGCTAATACGATCTTCATTAGAGAATGTCATCTCTGGGGTGTTATAGCAGACAGCTTAGTTTCAGGAGATCTCTGTCATTGCTATCGATAAGTAGCCTGTTATCGAGTTTAAATTTATTATGCCAAACTATTTTTCTGTATTGTACCAATTAAATATATTAAATAAAAGGCATTTAAATTGTCCTTTAATTTATTTTTAATTTTCCCTAATGACTCTTTAGCTCTTGAGCTTTTGAGTGCACCATTTTTCCCTCAATTAATGTTCAATTGCTTTTAATTGGTTCGTTTCGATTTAATTAAAAAGCATTTCATTCGCTCGTTCTGTGAGGCACCCTTAGATTCCACCATAAACACAACTAGTAGCCAAGGCAGACGTGCCCAGATCTTATCACCAAATCGGTCTGTATGCTCACGTTGGGCAAATATATACCTGCATATTGCTCATCGCGGCCATCTCAACTGCCAACTATACGAAAACACGTCCGGACACAGTCTCCGGTCGTTTGTGGCCCCGTGGATTGGAGTTCAAGTGGTGGCGCATACTGGGGTTCTTATCTCGGGACGGGGTAAGATATCGCAGCCGTTCCCATGGCCATAAATACCCCGCAGCATCCACTTAATGATTCTCAGTTCAGCAGTCAGTTCAGCGAATTGCAGGTGCTTTTCCCCTTGGTTCTTCGTTTTGGGTCAGCACGCGCCCGAGGATTTTGGATTAAGGTGCTATTTTCGTTGAATCCCATCAGGATGTGCCTGCCGCAACGAGTGGGTGGCCCGGCCATCCAGAGTATTGCCACTGCATTAGGTAAGCATTTCCCTGCATTATTATCGGAATTTAACACAAATTGTTACAACATTAAACGGATTAAGGTTAATAAGCCTGCTATGATATAATAATCAACTAATTGTCATAGCTCATTTACTAAGTCACACAAAATATCTTTGGGAAAATTATCTTCTATCACTTAAAAAATGTGCAATATTATTACAATCAATCAAAAATAAATTTAAAATAAATTGTAGACTAATAAATTACTTTAAATGTATTTGGGAAGTAAACTTTTCTATCAATTAAAGATCGAGAAACAACATTAAAATCAATAAAATATCTTTGAAAAATATTTTGGACTTTTACTCTTTTATTAAATTGCTTATTAAAATTAATACGAAAATTGTCTTCAATCAAATAAAAATGTAAAATAATATTCGAGCCAAAAAAATATTTAGAAAAATATGTATATTAAAACATACAATTATATAATAATAATAGCAATATAAAGCCTGGATAACACATTAATCATATGTATATATTATATAAGACCTAAAAAATCACATAAAACATCATTGTAAAAATGTTCTTGTATCATTTGAAATGTGAAATAATATTATTATATATTATGATAAATATATATATAATACATTATAATAAAATATATTTTTTTCCAATTAATAAACCCACTACTTTTCCCTCGCAGGCAATATTCTCTGCTTCAACTTCGGTCTTATGTTTGGCATCACTCCGGCGCACATGAGCCTTTATGAGTCGGAGGAGAGGACTCCATTAAACGAGGCCACCGATCCGGCGGGAACTGCCTGGCTGACCGGATATCTCTTCCTCAGTGCCGCCGTGGGAGCCTTGGTCTCCGGAGTCCTGGCCCTGAAAATTGGCCCCAAGTCCGTGCTGCTCTGCTCTGGACTGCTGCAAATTGTAAGTTCTTCCTTTGCTGTTTAATATTCGCAGGAAAAATTCATGCTTGTATTGGCAAAAAATGCGAAAGATAGTCAACAGTATGTCAATATCAATACAGAGCTTGCAGAAAAGTAGCAGACAAAGAACGTTTTTCTTTGGAAGTTTTTTCCCTTGAGCTATCAAATTGCCATGCTGTTGAAAAAACCTTTTGAAAGTGAAAAAGTGGAAAAAATTAGGTCCTTAGAAATAATTTCAATTGTATCTCCCGGGTGTTTATTATACGTATTGGAGATAGAAAATGGGAAATAACATGGAAAAAGTGTGATAAATATTTTTATTGAATTCCAGAGTGCCTGGGCCTGCATCCATTTTGGCTACGATATAGTGCACATTTACGCCTCTCGTCTTTTTGCGGGCGTGGCATCCGGCGCGGCCTTTGTGGTCCTGCCGATTTTCATTAATGAGATTGCCGAGTCCCGGGAAAAAGCCGCTCGACTAACGTTCACCATTGAATTGTGGCGAACGCTGGGCATTCTGATGGGTCTTATCCTGGGCTTCTACTTGCCATACGATCTGGTGAACATTGTCGGCTGTGCGGTGTCCTTTGTGTTCACCATGACGTTCCCCTTCGTCCAGGAGAGTCCGCATTATTATCTGCGGAAGAATAACGTGGCCAGCCTGGAGAAATCCCTGCGTTGGTATCGTGGCATCCGGGACATCGACGACCGTGAGAAGCCGGAATATCTGAGTGAGTTGGCCGAGTTCCAGGCCGAGCTGAGGAGCATGGACAAGAATGTGGGCTCCGCGCCCATGTCCCATGGGTACATAATCCGACTGACTTTCGTCAGTTTTCTACTCACCGTCTGCGCCAAGCTGAGCGGTGTGTTCGTGGAGCTGAACTACGCCGCCGATTTCCTCGGTCGCACTGGCTACTCCACGGAAATCAACTACGTGATCCTGGCCAGCGCCCAGTGCTTCGGAGCGCTCCTAGCCCGCCTCGTAGGTCCGCACCTGCCAAGAAAGGTAAGTGTTTTAACCATTAAATCCACTGAAAGACGTGTCCTAGATCTTAGATAGCAGTTAATAGATTTTCTTAGAAAATGTGAGGAATACATAATAAGGTACACATATATATTTTTACCATTTATAAAACTCAAGCCAATTTATCATTTTTAAAAAGGGTTGATTCATAATTTTTAGCATTATTGTAAACATATCTTTCAGTGCATTTTAAAATACTATTCCTAAATAATAATAATATATTTAATATTAAAGAGGAAGGTTTTCCCAATAATTAATAATGGGAGATTGAAATGTTAACATATGATTTTGAAACATATGATTTTTTTAAAAGTAGATATTTTTCAGATATTTAAGTAGTTATATTATTTGGAAAGAAACTTTCGATTATTATTGTGACCCACAATTAAAAAATATCTAAAAATGCTTTTTGAAATGCCATTCCAATTATAAAAACATATTAGATACAGACTGAAAGGTTATACAATTCATAATACCCATAACATCAAGATACAATAAGTAAGATATAATAATTTTTGATTTCAAAATGCTTTTGATATGTGATATATACATGTTCATTGAACCTTGTTATATGGTCTTAAAGTCTGCTTAGATATCTTTAATACAATTAGAACACGTCTCCTAAAATATTTATTAAGTAAAGCTAAAATATGGCAGTCCCCGTTTATCAGTTATATTTCCGCTGAGTAAATAGATCTAGTCCTCCTGTTCATCATAAATTAAAGATAAGTAAATCCTCCAAAATTGTTTCGTTTTCTATAATTAATGAAGTGTAATTTTTAATAACTCTAATCCTGCAGCTCCTCCTCTGCTTCTCGTCGCTTTTTGCTGCGGCTGCAGTCATCGCACTGGCATTGTTCAAGGGTTACGGAGATCTTTGGCTTCTGGGGAACTGGGCGAATCGGTATTTGCCCATCATCCTGCTGGCCATCCAGCTCGCCTTTGTTAGCTTCGGTCTTTATCCCCTGGCTGCGGTCGTGAGCAGCGAGGTCCTGCCCACTAAGGTGAGTGGATTTTTTCAAAAAAACCCATTACGATATTTACTTTTCGGGGTGTGATTGAAATTGAGATTTTTATTAAAAAGCACTTGGCTTACTTCGATTCATCAGTTCATTGGAATGATTTAAATCAAAGTATTTTTCAGATGCATAAACCAGATTTATGCAGAGATATTTCCAACTACACGAATGTGCAGTGAACTAAATGACATTGGAGAAAGCCAAAAGCTGGGTGTTAAAATGAATTAAACACTTGCAATTACTGGGAAATAAATAAAACAGACAAGTAATTATTGGCATATTGAACTCAGAGTTTCGTGTGATATAATAAAATTAAATGGTTTTAAATGTATACCATATCAAGTCAAAGTTTAAAATCTTTAAATTGACTAGAAATGTTAAATTTAGTATTGCCATATTTAAAATAAGTTAGAACCGCATTGAAAAATTTTTAAATTGAACATGAAACTAATGTACTTACCTCGAAAGTTCCATCAGTATATAATTAATTATCCTTTACATTCATTGGGCTGTAATCCTTTCCAGCTCCATGATTTGCTGTACTCACTGGCGTCTGCTGTTTCCTGGCTGCTGCTCTTCGGAATGATTGAGGTGGGTGTAATTAAGAAAAAACACGTGCACAATGAATTAAGCAAAGGGATTCTCTTGCAGGCATTTAATGCAGTCAAGGCCACAGTAGCCCCAGGGCTAGTCCTATACCTCTGGGTATTTGCCGGAGCCTCCATATTTGTGGGTCTGATTTCGCTGCCAATCTTGCCGGAAACCCGCAACCGTCGCCCCTCGGCGGTGCAACGTGAACTGGGCTACGTGGACGATGGCGGAGTGGCCAAGGGATCCGCGGCCACCAATGGACACATTTCCACCCACATCTAAGATGCTCGAGTTCCAACTCCCTTTAGCTTTACCTACGATATTATAACGAAGTTAGTTTTAATTTGCCCTAGAGTGCTTAGAAAAGTATGAAATAAAGTACAAAAGGATACAACAATTATTATAATGTGAAAATAAGGGTGTTTTAAGGATCCACCAGTACCAACTCATAACGAATTTAGTTATAATTTGCAATGGAGCGCTTAGAAAAGTATTATAAAAAAACTTGATTATACGTGGTAAAATATTATTATAATGTAAAATGAACGATATTTTAAGGATATAAAACTATTTTGTTAGGGAGTCTACTTATAGTTCACCCCAATAAACTCACAAAAGTATGCAACAAAATACGGACGTAAAGTACTTGACCACCGATTACTCATCCGGCTGGCAACCGTAAGATCCGGAATGGAATCCAATAGAACAATATGTCGCGCACGTCACCTTGAATTCTGGAGTCCCAGCTTTATCTTTTACCCCGAATCTTGTTATTTGGCTACGGTTCTTATCTCGTTTACGGTCTGCAAAGAACCTTTCGTCATAAAACAGTGCCCCAAGTGGGAATAATTTGTGATAAAACTTACGGTTAGTGGGTTTTCACTTGCGATAATGTACAGAAGTCTGGAAAGATATTGTACCAGCCACTTGGTACACGTGTTAATTTCTTAACATTAATCTTGCAGACAGAAAACGTATATCCAGGCATTTGGGATGAACGCCTATCTCACATTACCACTTTAGATTTTTTATTTTTATGCAATCTAATCAGATGTATTTAAATTCGGTTAAGAAACTTGGGTATTCCATCATAATAAACATAGATGAGTAGGCAGTATTTTTAAATTAAATAAAAACATTGACAAAGGTAAGTTAGCCAAAAATAACTCCTACTTTTGTGTTTTAAAGATGAATGATAGTTTTTGTTAGTGGTAGATTTTTAAAAATTATAATGTAAATTAAATTTATTAGAACTTAAGATTAGATCCTTTTTTTTTGGCCAGGCTTTCATAATATTTATTTTATTATTTTCACGCGGATTTTACTGAACCTGGAGCACGAAATGCACCTTATTCATGTGCTTTAACTTACTGGAACACGCATCATTTTCGCATGGTATAAAATCAGATTTAATTAAGTCGTGTTAGCGTCTAATCCTAATTTACGTGTTTACTGCCGAAATGGCCCAAAGGGATTGCCAAAAATGTTAAATGCGCGTCTAATGTTTGTGCTGAGTATCTCGACTAAGCAAATATTTGCGGCGACTAAAGCGCACGTTTAATTTACAATATACTTCTCTGCTCGGTAGGAAAATGGTAGTACTATATACAGGCGTTGTAAAGAGAGGGTTCTCCTCTCATCGAACGCATATCAAATCAGGAAAAAAACAAACAGAAAGTCGTAAAAATAATTGTGTACTATTATAATCGGCTGAGGGTGAGCAGCAACAAATTTGCTTTAACACCGCGGGCCATAATTAACTATTTTTCTGTGACAGTGGATTCGCTTCTGCTCTCATTTCAACAGAGCATAATGAAGCAGTGATAACGGTCTATAATCTACGCCACTCGCGTTCTGCTCCCCAGTTGAACTAAGCTCGTTTACGATCTAATGCAATATATAAATATTATCATCCAGCCACTGGTTTCGCTTAGTTAAACGCGAACACTTACGGGATCCGGAGAAAATCTATCCAAACGGAGGACTCGTCGGGCTATGAATTTCGGAGAAATAGTCGTTTAATTAAAAAGTTACGCCAATATGAGTTCCGCCGGTAGCGATAAATACCAGTACTTAGCTGCCATAAGTGGTTAGTTAAAAAATAACGAAATTTAATAACGAAATTTTCCGGAAAGCTTAAACCATATTTTTAGTGTACCAACGAAATAAAATGATTTCAGTATAAATATAAACATAAATAAAATCAATTTACTCAAAGCCTTTAAAAGATCTTAAAAATTATAAGTATTACGACCACTTGAAATTTACAAATAGTTATTTTTAAAAGAGTTTACTGTATTGTAGTTGCCTCCAAAAATAAATGCAACTATCCCTTTATCTAATTAAAATTCTATTCCAACTGTTCCTCTCAGTAAATATAATTTCTATATCGTATGGCGCGTTTTGTGGTTGGCCATCATCCAGTTTTCTGGAATTGTCATCAGAGGACAGTCCCTTGGAAACGGGTCCTTTGAGTCCCAAAGATCAGGGATGGGTGGCCTCGAATATTTGTTTGGGTGGCCTATTCGGAACCCTTTTGTTTACCTGGTTGGCGGACAAAATTGGCCGGAAATGGAGTCTCATGTGGATGGCGCTGCCGAATTTGGTATTTATTAATTGAAATATGCAAAGAATGCATGGAATTGAACAGTATTTTAATTACAGCTCGGTTGGGTTATAATACCCTTTGCCCGCAACCCAATGCACCTGATAATCGCCCGATTTATTGGGGGCGCGGCGGGAGGCGGATGTTTTACGGTTATACCTATATATGTTTCTGAACTCGCATCGGACAAGTATGTACTACCTAAGAGATAATTAATGAACATATTATTGAATATATATCCTTGTTTCAGCATTCGCGGCATTTTGGGTGTGTTTTTGGTGCTGACCTGTAATTTTGGTATCGTACTGGCCTTCGTTCTTGGATATTACTTTAACTATGCTCAGGTGTCCTGGATAGTCTCCTCATTATCCTTCGTGTTTGTGGGCTGCTTTTGGTTTATGCCTGAGACACCGCAGCATTTGGCCAGGGTAAACAAGATTGATGAGGCAGAGCACTCGCTGCGGTATTATCGTAATATAAAGGCGAATCCGGCCAAGGAGCTGAGTGAGGAGCTGCAGCTGGAGTTGCAGAAACTGAAAACCACGGAGAAACCCGGCGGGGATGCCGATGATGAGGATAACGAAGCCAGCGGTGTCACCTGGGCTGACTTCGGTAAGATGTTTAAACAAGAAGTGGGTGTAGGGGGTGTCTTAAATGCGGTCTTGAGTATTACTTAAGGGGTATTATAAATTTCAAACAATTTAAGATATGAGCAGGGGTCTTAATCTATGACTGACTAAATACCTGAAGATTTTTACACGTTAGTTTGTACTCATTTCATTTTAAAGAAGCCAAAAACCCACCACGTTGCGTATACTTAATTTGTATATGATGCTAAGGATATTAATTAATAATCTTTAAAGAGAAGTATCATAATGGTATATGATATAATAGAGGGATCCAGTACTCAAATAACGAAATGGAATGAATACAAATATTTTGGCAAAGACAAGATATATATTATGGGCTATGGATTAAGCTGTAAAGATGCTATTAACAATGCGTATGGGTAATATTTTCTAAGTATTATTGAAAACATCCTCTATAGATGCTTATGTTTTATCTATTTATATCCCTATTATGTTTATTTTTCTTAACCAGCTGAGGGCAAGACCCGCAAGGCCTTCCTGATTGGATTGGGTCTAATAAGCTTTAATCAACTGTGCGGCTGCTTTGCCATGTTGAATTATACGGCAGTGATATTTGAGCAGTCGGGATCCAGTATGCCACCCACGATGGCTGCCATTGTGGTGGGTTCCATTCAGCTAGTGGGCACCTATACATCCACCGTTCTGGTGGACCGATTGGGCCGGAAGATACTGCTCCTGGTTTCGGCGGTTGGAATTGGATTCGGCCAAATTGCCATGGGCACATATAGCTACTTGCAGGTGTCCGGATATGAGGTATCCGCCTTCAGTTGGGTTCCCATTAGCGGGTTCTCATTCATGATGCTCCTGGCAGCCGTCGGATTGCTATCCCTGCCCTTCCTGGTCGTATCGGAGATAATGCCGCAGAAGATTAGGAGCACTGCGATAATGATTCTCATGTCGGTGCTATGGGTGATTTCCACCATCACCATCAAGGTGGGATTTAAAAAAAATCTGGTATATTTCGAAACTTACTAATTTAAAATTTTCTTAAAACAGTTAATGCCCGTTTTCACTGAAACACTGGGAATGCACGGAACCGTCTTCATGTTTGCCATCCTATCCTTCTCAGCGGCTATTTTCATTGCCATTTTCTTGCCCGAAACCAAGGGCAAGACAGTCGAAGCCATCTTGGCCAGCCTTTAGTATTAATAACTTTATTATAAATGAATTGTTATTGTTTTGAAATAAATCTCAGAAAAAATTACACTCTCTGTTTGATATGTTCAAGGTATTTGAACCTTTGTTACAAAGAGTAAGCACAGTTGTCATGACTGTTGTATAGAAAATACAAATACTACAATCGGTTGTCTATCCGTCTACCTTGAACTTCCACAGCTGCCGCTATAAAAAAAAGATCCAAAATCTTTGATAAGATAAGATCGGTTGGGATAAGGAACATCTATCTCAAAGAGATTTGTTCAAGAATTTTTATGCGTGGTTTGAACCCTTGTTTAGTTTCCTAAAATCTTTCAAAATCTTAGTGAATAGTTTTTAAGATTTATTTTAAATATAAAAAAATGTCCTTCATTTTAAAGCAGTCTATATGGACCTGAACATTTTTAGTCAATTTAGTCCTTCAATATATATGGGTTGCACATTTTTAAGGCCATGTTTAGCCATTTTTATTTCATTGTTCCTTAAATTAAGGCAGTGGACTAAAATAAAGGACATTTTTTTCTGAGTGTATGGAATTCTTAGCTGTAGTAACTATTTAGTGTTCCTGATTAAGCTATTGAAATTGGTAATCCTCCAAAGTATCTTAAAATATCTTGAATGCGTCAAAAGCTTGAAGGTGGGTGTTCAGACTAAAACATGACAAGGTGTTGCCTACTTCTAGGATAAGCGTATTATCAATCTAAAATATTTCCAGGACCATCATTATCATTATCATTATCTCACCAAAAAGTGGATTGTGTCTCCGCCATATTATCTTCATCAAACACCTTTTGTGGAATTAACTAGACAATCCTCCTCATCTTAGTTTAGAGAGTTTGCCAGCTCGAGATTAATCTTTATGGGGAAACAGATGGCAAACAAATGCCGATAATGCGATAATAAAGATTACAATTTCCTTAAAAGATTGTGCTACATTAATTTTCCTGACTCCCAAAGTAAGAGAGCTTTGCGTTTGCTGGGCGACAATGTGAGGTTGAATAATGGTTAAAATCTTTAAAAACTCCCTGCTGCTGGCACACGCACTATACCAACTTTTGGCCACTCTAATTGGTGAGTCGAATGTAGAGCCAATTAAAATTGCCCTTCAAACTCGGTTTCTTTGTGCAGTAAACATCATAACCTTTGGCCATGGTGTGGGAGTGGCCTGGCTGTCACCCACACTGACCAAAATCCAGACGGCGGATTCGCCCCTGGCCTTTAAAGTTAACATCGATGAAATATCCTGGATGGGTTCCATGTTGGACCTGGACAGCTTGTGCGGAAATCTATTCATAGCCTTTCTGTTGGAGAGAGCTGACAGGAAATTCTGCATTTATCAGATGACAGTACCTTATGCAGTGAGTTGGTTCTCTGATAGACAGGTATTGCGTTATAGTTTCGACACCTTTTCTCTCAGTGCCTCTGAATTTTGATTTACTGTGACTCCAATATTTAATTTCTATATGCAGCACGGTTTTTGTGTGGTTTCACTGGCGGTGCAGCCTATGTGGCTTTGCCCATTTTCATCAGTGAAGTGGCAGACACCAGGTGGTTTTTTTTATGTCAGCAATTAAAAATGTAATTAAAGTCTGTTGTCATTGAACCCCCAGCATTCGAGCTGCTCTGACTTCCATGGTAATGTTGTCTGTGGACTGTGGAGTTATGGCTGGCTTGGTACTAAGAACCTATCTGTACTATCACGTGGTGCCTTTCTTGGGCTTTTAGTGCACGTGGTCTACTTAATTGTCAGTTTAATGTTACCCGAAACTGTCCCATATCTTATGAAAAGGAACTAACTCGGAGCAGCTGAGAAGTACTTTAGAAAATACAAAAATGAGAAGGGAGAAACTACAAAAGCGGGCTTTGAAGATCTTCGAACTAGTATTTTGGCTCAGCAGTCCATGGGTAAGACTATTTCTTATACCTAATATCCTGGAACTTCTCTGAAAGCTCTCAATGATTTAAGTTGGCATCCATTGGTGCTGATGGCTTTCACATTATACCTGGCCAATGTGAAAATGGAGGTCTCTTCTTTCTGGTTATCTTGAAGGTCTAACCAGCCAATGTAAGATAAGTGCTTTTGGATTATTAAATTAGTTCACTTATCCTGGTATTTTACAGATACCTTTTCTTGGCACTCCAGTATCCATTATTTGGATGAGCATCCTGGTGCTCTGCAAAATGAAGTTATTTTCTCTGATGCTGCACTTTTGGAGCATATCCTTGACGATGTGGTTCCCAGCAACATCCAATTTGCTTACTTTCATCTTTCTCCTTTTCTTGCTCGAAACTAAGGGAAAATCGATGTTCGATGATTAAACACTTTCTGCATGTGTTTTACCTTGCAATTCGTTTAAAAAATAAAATAAACATTATCCGGTGTACTGTTTGCTTCTCTTTATCTTTATCTTGCCAGAACATCGTTGGTTGGAGTATGAAAACTTTCTTTATTTGCATTTCATTTCAATCAGACAAGTTAAGACGAATTAAATAAAAATGAACGAGTTTTCCATTTGGAAAATATATTAAATCTAAAGTTTTTTGATTAAGTGAATACCAAAAATATATTACTAAAAGTTTCTGACAAAAGCTAAATAAATAGAATATTTTTCACCTTTGGGTGCAAATATTATACAAATGTTGTGTTGAAAAGTATGCTACATACAGAGTTGAGCGAGGAAATACAAATATATTCGAAGCCTACTCTTTAAGACTATACACAAATTCTTCAACAAAAGGAGAGCGCGAATTCTTCAGAGCATGGGCAACAAAAGGACTCCCGTACCTTTTTCGATAACTTTCATTATAGAGAGTCACAGATTGATCCATGCATAATATTGTTCCGCGAATTCTTCAGAAGAGTACCCACGATTTACCAAAACAATTTTAAGGAATTTAAATTTGCTTTTTGAAAAAACCACACAACATTTTTTCGATCCACTGTTGCGATTTAATATGAATTTCACTTCGTAAGAAACGTTCCCTTTCAGTCGAACTACAAATTGTAATTCCTGGCATACTTTTATGCAAAACTTGTTTTTACTTCTGCAAGGGAAAAGTTGTGGGAGCAGTAAAACTGCCGTGTCCGCATATCCTTGGCACACATTTTCCTTTTCAAACTACTTTGAATTTGAATTTTTTTCCATCCAGCCGCCTGGCAACTTTCCCAACGTTTCTTACCAGAAGTTTCGTGTCCCGGGCCTTATCTACTAAATTGCCGGTTGAGTCTGGACCAATATCGTAAACGTTACAGCTTAAGAACAGGCGAGACAGACAGGCCCCTTTTTTGTGGTCTCATCGTGTTGTGGTAGCAATTATTTGTTTGCCTTGTGAAATTTGTACTGGCCAAAAAACAATCTAGTCTAACTTAATCTGTTTGTAAAGCTTTGGCACTTATCTTTACAAAGTAATTTGTGACGTTACCTTAGGTACGCCAGTTTGCCAAAGAGAAAACAGCAAAATATAGTATACCCAATGATCTCCAGTATTGCGGATATAAAGTTTATGAAGCGATTCAGCGGGGCGAGCTTTTGCCTTTGCTAGGATTTTGAAACTACAAGCTATCGCATTTGTGGCAAATCTCTGGAGTGCGACTGACATTCAGAAGGCCAAAATGGTTAGGATTTTTGAAAATTCCTTGCTGAAGCAGAAAACACGTTATCAGCTATTGGCCACGGTTATTGGTGAGTTGCCAGCGAAATTTGCCATCGAATTTTCCACTCCTAAAGATACATTTATGCAGTGAACATCATTACCTTTGGCCATGGCGTGGGTGTGGGTTGGCTCTCGCCGACCCTGACCAAAATCCAAACGCCAGACTCACCCCTGGATTTTGAAGTCAATCTGGCTGAGATATCCTGGCTGGGTTCCATGTTGGGATTGGGAAGTCTGTGCGGAAATTTAACCATTGCTCTGCTAATTGAAAGAGCTGGCAGGAAATTCTGCATCTACTTGCTGGCGGGTCCGTATGCGGTTGGTGCCCTTTCAATTTGTCAAAAATTAGACACCACATAAAGCTCCCTCTTTCAGTGCATTTGGATTTTGATATACTGTGCATCCAATGTGTACTTCCTGTATGCAGCGCGATTTCTGTGCGGTTTTACCGGAGGAGCGGGATATGTGGTGGTTCCCATTTTCATCAGCGAAGTTGCCGACAGCAAGTGAGTTTTTCTACATTAATGGAAAATAATTCACAAAAAAATTCGCAAAACTTACAGCATTCGGGGGGCCCTGACTTCCATGGTGATGCTATCCGTCGATTTGGGTATACTGGCTGGCTATATACTTAGCACTTATCTGGCCTATCATGTCGTACCCTTCCTGGCCATTATATTGCCCGTTGCCTACTTTATGGCCAATATAATGTTACCCGAAACGGCACCGTATCTACTAAAAAAGAGCCAACTTTCTAAAGCCGAGTGCTCGTTTAGATACTATAGAAATCAGAGGGCTGCAATCTGCGAACAAACATCAAAGGTACATTTTGAGGAACTTCGCACAGCCGTACTAGCCCAGCAGAACAGGAATGCTACACCCCTGAGCTACAAGGATCTCAGTAAGTGGAGATTATAACTTTAAATACATATACCAATAATATTTCTGATATTGCAGTTACCAAACCCGCTCTTAAGGGATTTGCGGCCTCCATTGTCCTCAGTTTGGGCTACCAGTTCAGCGGCGTTTTCAGCTTCATCAACTATATGTCCGATATTTTCAAGGCCTCGGGTTCGATTGTGGATGTCAACACGGCCACGATTATCATAGGAGTTGTCCAGATCGTTGGGGTCTACACATCCACCGTACTCGTGGACATTGTGGGCAGACGGGTTCTGATGTTGATCTCCACAATGGGCGTGGGAATCGGATGTATTGCCTTTGGATGCTTTACGTACTTCGCCGAAAACGGCGGTCTCAGCGATTTCAATTGGCTACCCTTGGTGCTGATGATCATCATCTGTTATGTGGCCAATATTGGACTGATCGGAATCTTTTTCCTTGTGCTGGTGGAACTTTTTCCAGTGAAGGTATATGTTTTTGGATCATTATAAGTTTCTTAATGACATATAATTTTTTTCCTGCAGATTCGTTCCCTAGCCACTTCGCTTTCTGTGATTTTCTTGAGTATCCTAGTCTTTGGCACCTTGAAATTATTTCCCCTAATGCTGCACTATTGGGGCATTTCGATAACCATGTGGTTCTCCGCCGCCTCGGCACTACTCACCTTCCTTTACTTCTGGCTGTTTTTACAGGAAACCAAAGGAAAGTCCATGATTGAAGATTAATGGCCTTGCATTACTTAAGGATAAACTTACTCGCTTTTTCGTTGCTTACCAAATGAACAAAAATGTGTAATATATTTTGTATTAAAAAAAACTTCAGACAATTAAAAAATGTTTAATTAAAAATATACCACCTTAGATGTTATTTTCATGGTTTTGGGAGATTGGGAGATCCTGATACTTCTGAGGGATTAACAAACAAGATTCTTTCTTTAAGATAATAACAAAAATATAAATATGGGGAATTTATTTAAAAAAAAATAAAAACCTTTAAATTCATAAGTAGAAAGATTAAACAAACTATTTTTATTAATGACTCCTGGGTTTCGTGCACGAAACTAAAGGAAAGTCCATCATTGAAGTAAACTTAGGTCTTGCGATAGATCAACTAGCTGTAGCACATTAATATTTTTTTTTTAAATAAATAAAATAAAATTCATTAGACTACTTCCTACTACTTTACTTTATTACTTTTAAGATGTATAGTTATAAGATTTGACCTTGGGCTACCAGAAGACAGTCCTAGGTCAATCTGTTTTTACAATTTGGTAATATTTACCTCAAATTAGTGGTTTATCTATGTTAATTGCTTTGTTGAAAAAAACAAAATGTTTATTTAAAACTCTGTTAAACAACATTTTATTTGCGTTTGTTGTTGTTGTAATGAATGACAAATGTAATCCATTTAAACGTTGTGTAAACAATACAGATGTTGCCTGGCGTACTAATTGCATTTTTTATTTTGGTGCGGATGTTTGGTTCGTCTGACGAAATAATGAAGATAATGGGGTAATAAACCGCTATATTTTTATATTTTTTTTATTGATTTATTGTTAAAGATTTATATAAATTGAAATTTGTTAAAAATGGTATTGTTGTTATAACAATAATAATACGTTTTTTTAACACAATAACTATTTTGCAAAAGGTTGAATTCCTAATTAAAAATGTAAACATTCCAGGTGGCTTTGGGGCTATCTGACTTAGATAACCCGTTGAAAAGTATATAAACGGAAGTGAAATCGGCAGACGTTACTTGTTTCTTTCAGACATCGTTGAGTAGATATGACATTGAAAATGCACTTGTCCTCACTTTTCGACAATCCCAACTGTCTGCTGAATCGCAGGAATCGGTATCAGTTCTTGGTGACTCTGCTAGGTAAGGAATGCACTTCAATCCCAAAGGACGAATCCCCTCAAGAACTTTCTGATATCCAGTGAACATCGTAACCTTTTGCCATGGCCTGGGCGTGGGTTGGATGTCGCCGGTGATGAGGGATCTCCCAACCGATCAATCGCCCCTCGCTTTTCCCGTTCTGGTGGAGGACGTCTCCTGGATAGGATCCTTAGTGGGCATTGGAAGTATGCTGGGGAATATTCTGGCCGGCATTTTGATGAATCGCATAGGCCGCAAACTGGTCATGTTTGGTGTGGCGTTTCCCTATATGGTGAGATAAGTCATTATATACTATTTCAAACTATTTCCTTATAATATACAATATTTTCCAGATGTTTTGGTGCATGATATACTTTGTTCAGAGAGTGGAGTTCCTTTATGTGGGTCGCCTGCTGGCCGGAATGACTGGTGGCGCATCATATGTCGTCCTTCCCACCTTTCTCAGCGAGATTGCTGACGACAAGTAAGTCAGTTTGGGGAAAAATGAAAACTAAGACTTATTGCTTTAAATCCTATCCAGTATTCGAGGTCGTCTTGGCTCCATGATTCTGCTGACAGTAAACACAGGAGTACTCACAGGATACATAGTCTCCTCCAATTTTAACTACTTTTCAACACCCCCGTTTATTATCATCCTCCCTTTGTGCTACATTATGGGTAATTTCCTGTTTCCGGAGACGCCTCATCATCTCATACGCAAGGGAAAGTTCGCGGAAGCCGAAAAGTCCTTTAGGTTTTACAAAAACATCAATAGGGACGATATTAAGGCGGAAAGTGAATTCGAGGATTTGAAAATCCGTTTGATAAAGGCTGAGAAAGAGAAGAAAAATTCGTTTAACTACAGGGATTTCAGTGAGTTAAAGGTGTGATTCATAATCTTCTAATGATATAATGATTTTATTTTTTATATCTATAGTTACCAAGCCTGCGTTTAAGGCCTATACCTCGGCGATAGTCCTGGTGATAGGCAATCAGTTTAGTGCCAGTTTTAGTGTGTCATCTTATCTGTCGACTATCTTCGCGGCCTCTCACACCACCCTTAATCTGACCATGTGTACCATTATCATAGGATCTGTTCAGATAGTGGGCACCTATGTGACCACCTTGTTGTGCGACAAGTACGGCCGCAGGCTACTCATGTTGGTGTCCTCCTTGGGATCCTCTGTTTGCTTGGCTGCCTTTGGTTGCTTTACGTATTTCGCCCAGGATTACGATTTATCTGCGGTGGGTTGGCTGCCCTTGGTGATCCTGGCCTGCTACATATGTATTGTCAACATTGGCCTGGTGGGTTGTGTCTTCGTGCTCCTCCTGGAACTCTTCCCAGCTAAGGTGGGTTACTTAAAATAAGTTCTATAGTAAATTTTTGAAATACGCTATATATTTACAGATCCGCCCCGTTTGTGTTTCCACATTCACAGTGATCCTAAGTGGCATGGTCTTTCTGGCCCTGAAAATCTTTCCCATTTGCGTGGCTGAATGGGGCATCTCGGTGACCATGAGTTGCTGCAGTTTCAGTACGATTCTCTGTTTCTTCTACTTTTATTTCTTCCTGGAGGAGACCAAAGGCAAGTCGCTATTGGAGGGTTAATTTGATTACTCAATAGAGAGAGAGAGATAACAAAAGGAGATCTACAGCCATCTGCCAAATTGCAGAGGTCAATATCAACCCGGTGGCCTGGTAAGTCACCGCGAATAGAAAACAACAATTTTGGGTTTGGTTTTCTCCATCGTGACGAAACATAAAAATTTGAGAATTTTGAAAACCAATCCATTGTGTAACGAAATAAAAAAAAATCACAAATAAATAAAAAATATGAACAACATCGCTTGCGGTTTCCCATAGAAAGTCTTTTCAAGTGTACTCCCAGATGGTAGGCGCCATAAAAGACTTTGGCTTATCTGTCTTAGATAAACCGGTTGCGAAATATTTAAGGGGAAGTTCAGACCATAGATGAAACTGATTCAGTCTGGAGAAAGCATCATGACAGTGAAGTTGCACCTAGCCTCGGTCTTCGACAACCCCAACTGCCTGCTGGGCCGGAGGAATCGGAATCAGTTCCTGGTAACCCTGCTGGGTAAGGATTACCATATTATATAGTGGAAGAAACCTCCCTTATAGAATACTTTATTCCCCAGTGAACATAGCCACATTCTCGCATGGACTGGGCGTGGGCTGGATGTCACCGGTGATGAGGGATCTCCAGACCGAAGATTCGCCCCTGAACTTCCCCGTTCTCGTGGACCAGGTTTCCTGGATAGGATCCGTCGTCGGTATTGGCAGTGTAATGGGCAATCTCCTAGCGGGATTTCTGCAAGATCGCATTGGTCGCAAGCTGGTCATGCTCTTTATTGCATTACCCTACACGGTGAGATGAGTCGACACCTTTGTGCGAAACTATTTCACCACTCTGGTATTATCATCTAGGTCTTCTGGTTCCTGGTATACTTCGTTCAGAGCGTGGAGTTTCTCTACATCGGTCGTCTGATGGCTGGCATTACTGGTGGCACCTGTTACGTTGTCCTTCCGACCTTCATCAGCGAGATAGCCGATTCTAAGTGAGTCTGTCTAATGGAGCGTGCTGGATTAGGCTCTGATTAACTATCTTACCATATATCTTCGCAGCGTACGCGGTCGGCTCGGGTCCATGATCTTACTATCGGTGAACACGGGTGTTCTGGCGGGCTATATTGTGTCCACAAGTGTGGATTACTTTACATCTCCCCCGTTTATAATCGCCCTTCCAGTTTGTTATTTCATCTGTATCTTCCTATTTCCTGAGACCCCACACCATCTTATTCGCAAGGGCAAAGTTGAGGCGGCCAAAAAATCGTTTATGTTCTACAAGAACATCACAAAGGATGATATCAAGGCTGAGAGTGAGTTCGAGGAACTAAAGTATCTGCTAACCAAAGAACAGAATGAGAAGGCAAAGTCATTTAACTACAAGGATTTCAGTGAGAGGATAGGGACAGTAGTCTAAAGGTATTTTTGAAATGTAACCCTATTTCTTTTCAGTTACAAAACCAGCTTTTAAGGCCTATGCATCTGCGGGTGTCCTGCTGATGTCCAATCAATTCAGCGCCAGTTTCTGTGTGACCACCTATCTATCCGACGTCTTTGCGGCATCCCACACCACTCTGAACCTGAGCATGTGCACCATCATCATTGGAGCTCTCCAGATCGTGGGAAACTATGTGACCACCCTGCTGTGCGATAAATACGGAAGGAGGATCCTCATGCTGACCTCCACTTCTGGGGCTTCTGCTTGCCTGCTGGCCTTCGGAACCTTCACCTTTTTTGCCGCTACGACTGATCTCACCATGGTGGGATGGTTACCCCTCGTGATCCTATCCCTTTTCGTATTATTCTGCAATATCGGCATGGTGGGGTGTCTCTTTGTAGTCCTAGTGGAGCTCTTTCCGGCCAAGGTGGGTTCTAATTATTTCCCCCAAAAAATCTTCTCTATCCCTGTTATATATATTTGCAGATACGATCTGTGGGCGTCTCTACCTTTGTGGTCATCCTGAGCAGCACCGTCTTTCTCACCCTGAAAATCTTCCCCATTTGCATGGCGGTTTGGGGCATCTCGATTACCATGTGGTGCTGTAGTGGCATTACATTTGCCGGTTACCTCTACTTTTTCTTCTTTCTGGAGGAGACCAACGGCAAATCGCTACTGGAGGCTTAGTTTGTTTACTGAGGGAGATAATGGTTTATCAAATTTTGTCGCACCTGGGCGATTAGCCTAAGCCCGGTAGCTATCTTTACGGCCAGAGGTTACCAGTCGGATACTTAAGCCGACTCCCCAGTGGAAAGCCCTTTCAGTGATCTGAGATATCTGGCCAATGTAAGACTGAATAAAGATCGGTGTGTTGTTTTTTGTGCACATGAGAAGAGTATAAGTTTCATTTATAGGGGATAAAATGTTGATGCAGTTGTTTAAAAGGCCCAATTGCCTGCTTAATCGTAGGAATCGATACCAGCTACTGACTACGCTGTTGAGTGAGTAATTATATCAATCTATGATTATATCTTTCTAATGATTTTGTGCAGTTAATGTGATATCCATATCCCATGGCATTGGGATTGGGTGGCTATCTCCTACGCTGAGGAAACTGCAATCCGACAACTCAGTGGGTTTTGAGGTCAGGTCCGAGTTCGAGATCTCATGGGTGGGCTCCATGTTGGGGATGGGTTCGGTGACGGGCAATATTCTGATAGGGTCCCTGCTCGAGCGCCTGGGAAGTAAAAGGTGTCTGCTGTTCATTGCCATTCCTCATTCGGTAATTAGACATCAATATCAAAGAATGGGAATCGAATTCAAATACCATTTATGCTTTTAGTGCCTGTGGATCCTGGTCTACTTTGCCCAGAGTGTGGAGTACCTGTATGTGGGAAGACTTCTGGCTGGCATCTGTGGCGGTGGCATGTACATTGTTCATCCCATTTTCCTCAGTGAAATAGCAGATGCCAAGTAAGTGGATAATTTATGGCTTTTCGCAAGATGATTATCAAAAGATAACACTGGTCTCTAACGTAAAGAAAACAAACCATTAACTCTTACTCATATGTTTGTTAATGGGTGTATTTCACCAACAGCATCCGAGGAACATTCTCCGCCATGGTGATGTTATCGGTCAATGTGGGAGTACTAGTGGGCTATATAATGGGCACCCACATGTCGTACTACTCTATACCCTGGATAGTTCTGATATTGCCTCTGTGCTACCTCATTTCCGTACTGCTGTTCATAAAGGAGTCACCCATGCATCTGATAAAAATTGGCAAGTACTCAGCGGCTGAAAGATCATTTAGGTACTACAAGAACATCAAGGACTCTGATAATATTCACGATCAAAATAAAGCTATGGAGGAGTTTGAGATCATGAAAATTGCTTTGACGAAAGGAGATCCCTTGCAGGATGCCATCACATTTAAAGACTTTTGTAAGTTTCTAATATCTATATTGATGCACTACAATATTTATTTTGAAATGCTTATCATTTTGGAAGGTTCGAAACCCGCTCTCAGGGCCTATGGTCCCGCCCTGGTTCTGCTGATTGCCAATCAGTTCAGTGGACTCTTTACCATGGTCAACTACATGTCGGATATATTCGCCAGGTCGGGCAGTACAATGGATCCCAATACCTGCACCATTATCATAGGAGCTGTCCAAATTCTGGGCACTTATGTGACCACTTTGCTTTGTGACATTTGTGGGCGCAAACTTCTTATGTTGGTCTCCACGGGGGGCGTGGCTATTAGTCTAACAGCCTTTGGATTCTTCACCAAATATGCCGAAAGCCATGATGTCAGCGAATATAGTTGGATACCCCTGCTCTTCATGTCAATGGACATTTTCCTGGGCAACATTGGATTAGTGGGCTGCTTCTTTGTCACTCTCGTGGAAATGTTTCCTGTGAAGGTATGTCCTCAACTGACTTTTGGTGTAAGTAATTGATTTCTATTAGAATATAAATGACATTTTACAGATTCGTGCCAAGGCAGCCTCAATAGCAATTGTGGTCTGCAGCAGCTTTGTCTTCCTCATGCTGAACATTTTCCCCATTTGCATGAAACAGTGGGGTATTTCTGCCACTATGTGGTCGTGTGCAGGTGTCACAGCATTGAGTTTCGTTTACTTTACATATTTCATGAAGGAAACCAAGGGAAAATCTATGTTGGATGACTGACGAAGAGTGTGAAAATGAGATTTCAATAAATCGAGCAACATCAAATGAACAAATGCCTTGTAAATTCTAATTGGAAGTCATCTGCCATCGTTTGACTTCAATCGATTTAACCATTTTAATTGGTTTTATCGGCTTACACACAAGAAGATTGTTTAGTGAATTAATTTTCGGTTTGCCTAGATAATGAAAGATAGATTTTCAGTTTACATTTTCATGTATATTTAAATAAGATTAATTACATATAATTAGATAATATAAACAAAATACAAATAATGCCATAAGCTCATACATTTTGATGGTGATCCTTTTTCATTTTTAATTACCTAATTGGCTTTACAATTTTTCGGACAAGCACAATTCACTGATGCTGTCCATTTAAAACTAATTAAAAAACTAGCATACTAAATCACAGTGTTTTTTCCCAAGCGAAAAAAATTTGCAATATTCTACAAAATTACTAGCGTTTTTCAATTTAAACATATGTGTGTGTGTGCGGGGTGGTATGGGAATAGGGCAGACAGCAGTAATTATTTTTGGGTATTTTAAAACGTACATTAAAACAAAAAGTTGGGGGCATTCCTCTAACTCATTCTCTCTCTCTCGTGTTTCAGCGGCAAAATAGCGAATAATAACATAAACGGCTAACAATTAAAATGCATAAAACAAAACAAAGATAAACGTTTACTAAACAGTTCCTTCGCACTGCCCTACCGCAAACCACATCTAAACTATAATAGTAGGTGTAAGGATAATTGTAGTTATACTCGTAGTAATTGCTAAACATAAATGGTGTGGCTTGAAAGTAAATTGAATCACAAAATTGGCGCAATTTAGCAAGTTTGTTCAGTTTTTTTTAGCGGTATAGGTATAGCAATGGTAAGCATTAACTAATTACGTATCACTGGTTCGATGTCTGCTCAGATAGATATACATAGATAGATGGATAGATAGATATCACGTCTTTTTTGGGCATCGCAGGAAGCGCAACACCGCGTATCCCAGGCACCTGAATACCAGGAAGAACATCATCAGGATCAGCGTATTCAGCCAGAGCGGTGATGTCGAGTTTTGGGCTTTGAGTATTTCCTCGTATGGAATGAATTCGGTTGACTGCTGTTTGCAGATCTCGTAGCTGCTGGGCGATCCACAGCTGGAAAATAAATGCAATAATATAGTAAAATTGATATTACGAGATTATAATAAAGATAATCAGAAAATTTCATAAATATTAAAAGATTATAACAAAGATAATAATCAAGTAAAACTAATATTGAAGGATTATACAAAAATTAAATGATAAAATATTTGTATAGCTACTTCTATCCTTTATCTTTCCTTAATGAATTGTAGATTTTTTTTTAATAACAGTTTATAGGCAACGAACTTCTCAATCGTTATAATAAGTTACTTTTTGCCGACATTCAAAAATAAAACCTAGGTTATATACAAATTTTTAAAAATATTTTTTTTGGCTGTCTATAATATCCATTTCATTGAATTTAGTACAGTTGTAAATACATTTTTATATTGTGTTTAAAATTTTTGTATACTACATTAAGACAATCTAATGGATATCAAATACATCAATTTTAACTTAAAAATATTTTTTTTATTTGTAAATACGGTTCTTATATAGCTCACCCTATAGCCGCACCCTCTCGGAACTCGAGAATCTGCATGTTCTGGTAAGCGTAGTGGATCATGGAGGTGTACCGGATCCAGCTGAGCCCCTCCGGAATGCGGGAGGACAGATATCCTCCAAACAGCTGGGTGGCCAGCGTGTACAGGGCGCTCAGGGTGATGCTCACGTTCATGTCCATGCAGCAGGCTCCGATGAAGAAGCCCACGCTCTGGGCCACAATCGTGTTGATCAGCAGGAAGATGAGCATCAGGAAGAACAGCTTTAAGCTGGAAAATATATTAGATATAAGTTATAAGGTCCCTTAATAACGATTTGATCATACTCACCTAGTGCAGCCCAGCATGGGATAGCTGATCATGAGGTAGACCGTGGGTAAAGTGATCACCAAGGGCAGCTCGGCACACATTTTGGCCAGATAATAGGCGGATAGTCTATAGGCCCCGGAGCGGCGTTCCTTGCTCACTACCTCTCGCTCCGAGGGGACTGTGAAATAAACAAGGATCAATTAAGGATAACGTTTCTTTCTTAATCTAAGCTATAAACCCACATGAATTGAGGGCCCCGAAGAGGGCGAAAAGCATCCAGTAGGTCTGCGAGAAGAACATCCATCCCTGGAGGTCGTGAAGGAACTCCTCTGTTCTAGGCAGCTGGAACCAAATGGCTCCAGCCATCAGGGCCAGTCCAATGGTCTGGAACCAGTTGAGTTTGGACAGCATTCGCGGCTTGGCCTCCTTAAAATTGCGGCTCGAAAGGACGCAGAACTGGGTGTGGAAGCTGGTGGGATAGGACAACCACTCATCATCTCCCGAATGTCCTGGTCCACTGCCAGCACTATAGGAATGGCAATCGCTGGAGGCACAGGAACTGAAGTTGGACTGCGAATCCGCGGCACACCACACCAAATGCTGGGCCGCCTCCTCATCCTCCTCCACCTGGCAACCATTACTCGTGTGATGCAGGTTCTCGTACTGATGATGGTGCCGTTTGGATCGGTGGTTATAGTAGTTGTTTATAATATCGTCTATGAGGATGCTGTCCGGCTGCTTCTTGCCCTTCGCCTCAGAATCGCTGACCTGGTTATTGTGGCTACTCGTAATGCAGTTGCGGTTCAGGTAGTTTCCGTGGGACTCCTTAGCGGCTATGAAGAGCTTCTCGCGGATATCCGGATGCGATTTCAGTTGTTCCACTGGAAAAAAATTAAGGAAAGGGAATTAGACCGTTGGTATCATATTTACAAAATGAATAACACAAGAAACCTATTACTAAAGGCCTACGTATTTAGGATCATTAAGAACTAAAATATTTTAAAATGTGTCTTAAATTCCCACACTGAAAAGAATGGACAAGTAATATTAAATATAAAAATGTATTTAAAGATTCGTATTAGATAAAACGTAATATATATTACAAAATATATTAAGTAGCATGATTCATTTTGAAAAAATGTTGAGTCAAGGTAGACAATTTTAAATACGATACATACATAGTTTAAATATTTTTGTCATAAAAACAAAAAATTCATTTTAAGATCAAATTTAAAAATGTTTTAATAAACTAAATA